AGCCAGGATGGGATAAAACCGGACATGTGGGCTCTGGGGGGCTCTTGGCCTGGTGGTTCGCAGCTGATCGTTTTGGCGCTCAATCGGTTTTCAGCGAGCCGGTGGAGTCCAAGTCAGCAGAACTGGTAGGACATCCTAGTTAACCTGCGTTTCTCTCCCTCTTTCCCTGGGTTATTCCTTTACCTTTCTCCTTATAAATAAATCCATTATTTAACCTTTTCAGTGTGTCCATAATACGATTGAATCGTAAGCGCACGGGTGAAGACCCACAGACAGGCAACCCAATTCACATTGGGGTGCCCTGTAACATATTCACTGAACAAGGGAGGCTGTCCTTACCCTTTCACTCTGAGAGTAAAAAGATGAGCTTATCAGACAGGGAGGACTTACTGAAATATGAACATCTATATGACACCCCTAACCTTTACTCTCCCAGCTCATAAAAGGAGGAGCAGGGCCTCCCTGGTGGCACAAGGGGCTAAGTCTCTGCACTAGGAAGCTATTAGCCACTGCAGCATGAATTCGATCCTTGGCCAGGGAGCTGATCTACATGGCCTGGCAGACCTCTCCTGACCTGCCGCTGCTCCCCTCAGCAGTGTACTTTCTTCAACCACCTGTTCTGTTCCCCACTCTGTCTCTGATGAATCTTCTGAACCCCCTCGCCTCTGCCTGTACCCCAGTTATTGCAAGAATAAACAAACAAACGGCCTGGGCTCAGAGTCGGCCAGCATCATTTTAAGGCGACTCTGCCACACAGAATGGACGACTGACAGCAATACCAAGAGCAGCTCAGCTAAACTCTCCACAATCCAGCCTGTGACGCCCAGGCATCAGGAATACCAATCGCTGTGTGGATACATTCTTGGACAAGAGTGTTGTGTTGGAAGCCACGTGAAGCATATTTACCCAGTGATGCCCATAAAGCCACTGATGGACAGACTCGCTGCTTTTGAAATCCTTTTCTCACCCTGTTTTAAGCAGACAGGGAGACCCTGCGAACAACCATGGGACTGAGGAAAGAGAGTTTTGTTGAAACAGACTGGTTATATTCCGCGTGGCCTGTATCTCTAGTCACGTCTTCTGGAAGCACGTCAGACCTGTCACCAGCTGTTCAAGTGCAGCGGCAAGACGGTCCGGTGATTAGACTCATCCCTTCCAGCCAGCCTACCAGCTGTAGAAGCTGCACCTCCCGTTACAGGTGCAGAGCTTGGCGGCAAGAGGGCGCTTCGCCCGGTCACCAGAGGCCTCGCCCCCATCATTCGGCGTCAGCCAGAGCTGCATGACCGTCCAGCCTCCCGGTGGCAAAGCTGCGGCCCCGCCTTCCCCGCCGCGTGGCCCCGCCTTCCCCGCCGCGTGGCCCCGCCCACCTGCCTGCGCGGCCCCACCCTCCCGCGGCACTAGTCTCCCGCTGAGAGACGCTGGTCACGTGACATCGGGCGGCTCGGAGCCGGCGGTGGCACTTTGCCCTTTCACCCGGAGCCATCGCTGTCCGTCCGCGAACAGCTCACGCTGAGTGGCTCGCGGATGGCGTGGGCCTGGGGAAGGCACAGAATAGGCCCCGCCGCCGGGCCCCAGAGTCGGCCGGCTGCCGGTTGCTAGGCAGCCGCGCGGGCGGAGGGAGGGTGCGGTCCGGGAGGCGGGGGCTGGAGGGAGTCGGGCCGCGATGGACCAGTACTGCATCCTGGGCCGCATTGGCGAGGGCGCGCATGGCATCGTCTTCAAGGCAAAGCACGTGGAGGTGAAGTGGGCTTCGGGGCCAGGGGCCGCGGGGGTCCAGGCTGGCCTTCCCCTTCCTCCCCCCCGTTGTTCACGCCCTGTGAGGTCTGTCCACTCTTCCGCCCACCTCTGGGCCCGTGCCTATCCTTCTCGTGGTGCTGCTGTGCACCCCTACTGGCCCAGGTGGTGGTGGGACCATCCCTGCAGAGCAGGGTCTGGACGCTTTGTATCCCAGGAGGGCCTCAGGCCTCGCCCCCAACACCAGCGGGGTTCGTGGCCCCTCACCCCCCAGCTGACAGGGCAGTAGTGATGCGTTCCTCCCGCACAGACAGGAGAAATCGTGGCTCTTAAGAAGGTGGCCCTGCGGCGGCTGGAGGATGGCATCCCGAACCAGGCGCTGCGGGAGATCAAGGCCCTGCAGGAGATTGAGGACAACCAGTATGTGAGTGCCCAGGCGCCTGGCTGACTCACTCCACTCACTCTAGCAGTCTCGGGCCCTTCCCTACTCTGCTCACTCCTCTGCTTCCCTTCCCCTCTCTCACTTGTCTGTCCACTTGTTCCCCTCATTCACACATTACTTTATCTCTCACTCCTTCACCCACCAATTTCTTCATGTACTCATTCTTTCACTTACTCTTTTCTCGAAAAATTTTGTGATTTCTGATGACAATAGCTGGGCGCCTACATTCTGCGGGCTGGGTTAACTGTTTTTAAAACTGCATTTTCCCCACTCTTCTACCAGGCAAGTTTCAGGAAGGGGCCTGTTCTCTCCAAGTCAGGAGGAGGCTCATCCCCAAACTCCTGGGCACTCTGCCGGGAAGGGGGTTTGGTTATGCCAAGTTAAGGAGTCTGGGCGTTATAACTTTGTGACTCCTGGAACCCCCGCCTGTGCAGGGAACTTGAGTGTGAGTGGACAAAAGCAGAGGCCCCATCTGACCTGGTTCATGCTGTGACTGCGCTGGGAGGGGCTGACATCACTCCATCTGTGGTGGTCTCCACGGTGTTCTTCTCCCCAGGCAGAGACAGGATTGGATCCTGGGAGGCGCTGGCTTGTTCTCAGCCCTCCCGTCATCTTGGGTGATGAAGGCCTGTGTCTTCCAAGTTTTTGTGAAAATATATCCCCAAATTTATGTGTGTGTGTGCCATGTTTATTTCAGGGACTGAGAGAATATCCTCTTAAGATTGAGTAGGCAGAATTTCTCTTTTTCTTTATAATTTCATGTATTATGAGTGCATGTGTGTATTCTGCTGTTAAGTGTGTGCCCGTCAAAATCAGCCAAACAATAACAACCTCCTTGTTTGGGGCAGAAAGGGAAACGGTTGCAGGTAGCCCTTGTCCGGGATGGTTGAAGGGACCCACGAAGAGATGGTGATGTGGCCCTGTGTCCCATGAATCAACAACCTGGACACTCTGTCCTTACATCACTCCAGATTTGACCTCAGCCAGAATGACTGGGGGACAGCCACTCTGCTTCCGCAGCCCCACGCCTGCGCCGTCACACCATGAAGATGAGAGCATCCACTTCCTGTTTGGAAAGGCCCCAGTGACTCCTGTTCACACTGAGAGCACTGTCTCCACCTGCCTGTGCCCAACTCCAGCCTCCCTTCAGGTTCACACAGGACACCTTCCTCCCACGAGGACCACTAGACTCTGGGGCGCAGACCAGAGCAAACGTCCTTGCCCTGAAACGTGTGTCCTTGGCCATCCCGCTGCTTCCCAGGTCTTGTCTCGGGGCCTTGCACTTGCAAGACCTCTGCATAGCCTGCCCCGCCTGTGTTTTCTTCCTGTCCTTGCAAGAACCTGGATGCAGCCATGGGCTGCTTCTCTCATCTGTCAGTTGTTCATGCTACGAGCTCCTTAGGGTGTTTGCTCCTACTCGCTGCTCTGAAGCCCAGCTTCTCTGGCCAGTGGGCCCTCAGGAAGTTTGGGATATGTCTCTACTTGTACCACACTGGGAACTGTAGGCCTGTTGCTGCCTTTATCGGCCCTAGGGTGTTTCCCAAGAGAAAATAGGAGACCTATCCTCATATGTGTTCCCCTTCGGGCGATTTTCTATTGGGTGACTTGACTAGGGGGCCAGATGCTACTGGAATGGCCTTCTATAGACCTCCTTTCCTCTGTGAGTTTGTGGGTGTTAGACTCGCATCTGCTACCTCTCAGGAGAGAGAAGCAAGGACTGCCCAGCACTCCCTGAGTTCTGAACTTAAGGTCCACCCTGGGCCTCTTGTCAGCGAAGGGCTTGGTGTCCCAGGGATCTGGGTGGTGGGCATTGGGGCTGATGGGGTGCCTTGCCCACAGGTGGTGCAGCTAAAGGCCGTATTCCCACATGGTGCAGGCTTCGTGCTGGCCTTCGAGTTCATGCTGTCAGATCTGGCTGAAGTGGTGCGCCATGCACAGAGGCCTCTGGCCCAGGCGCAGGTCAAGAGCTATCTGCAGATGCTGCTCAAGGGAGTCGCCTTCTGCCATGCCAACAACATAGTCCATCGGGTCAGTCCTGGCATGTGCGGGGAAGCCCCACATTCGGAGTGCCCGCCGGGGACGGGGCCTGTGGCTGTGACCCTGGAGGAGACAGAGCTTGGGCAAACCTGGGCACACAGCCTACCACACGCTGTCATCACAAGGTTCTTGGGAACCCCCTAGGAACTACTTTCTTTTGTGCTCTCAGGACTTAAAACCGGCCAACCTGCTCATCAGTGCCTCAGGCCAGCTCAAGATAGCAGACTTTGGCCTGGCCCGGGTCTTTTCCCCAGATGGCAACCGCCTCTACACACACCAGGTGGCCACCAGGTAGGGGCGGGGCTGGCCCTGCAGGATCTGGCCATGGACCAGCCCTACTGTGACAGGGAAGAGATACTTTTGGACATTGGTCATGGGCTGGTGTGGGGCCAGGGTGACTTTCCAAAGAAGCTGCTTGTCGGACCAGTGACATGGCTGTGGTCAGCTGCTCTCATTCTTGCAGGTGGTACCGAGCCCCCGAGCTGCTGTATGGTGCCCGCCAGTATGACCAGGGCGTCGACCTGTGGTGAGTCTTCTGTAGGCTAGTTGGGGGAATGCAGATCAAGAGTCATCTTTTCTCTTGAGCATTAAGTCTCAGGAGACCATTTGGGGATGTCTCTCTGCTGTGCTCTAGATTTGCCTACGAGTGTCGTCCTTTGGGGTATCTCTGAGCATTCAGGGGTGTCATTGTTCTCCAGGACACTCATGAGCTGGTTGGGAGTTGGGTGGGATCATTGTCTCCACGAGAAGCTTTTGGGCTGAGTGGGAGAGGTGGTCTGAGGCAGGAAAATTAATCGGAGGATGTGATGTGTTTGAACTATCCAGAGGCCTGAGTCTCTGGTACAAATGATCTGAACCTTTATTTGGGGAAACTTGGTTTATGCATTCTTACCGAGATTTGGGAGGTTGTTTCGGAGTTCTGCAGCAGTGTGTGGCTCTTAAAAGTCCCAGAACTAAGTCTGGGTTGCTGTGTGTGTTCCCAGGTAGAGAAGGGTGGGTGGGTGGGGTTTCTGTGTTCCAGGCTTCAGGTCTCTGGCTATTTGAGGGTGCATCCCTGGATATCAAACATCTAGCTGCCTGGGGGGGGGGGGGCTTGACCAAATCTAAGATGTGGGCAGTGATCTGGGGAGATGTCTGTGGTGGGGTGATAGAGCTGGTGTTGGGAGATGTGTCCGTGATGTAAAATATCTGAGCTGCTTGTTATCTGCAGGGCTGTGGGCTGCATCCTGGGGGAGCTGTTGAATGGATCGCCCCTCTTCCCTGGGGAGAATGATATCGAACAGCTTTGCTGTGTGCTTCGCATCCTGGGCACCCCCAGTCCTCAAATCTGGCCGGTTTGTGAGGGCCCTGGTGGGGATGGGTGCAGGTGTCCTTTATTTCTGAACAGCCAGTGACCCCCTCCCCCACACTTCTCTTCATGTCCCCATACCTCCTCGACAACTCAGACCACTGCCCTGGCCCAAACGCAGCTTCCTCTGGGAGGGCGTGAAGGCCTGTCCCCTGTCCCTTCCCACTCACGCACACTCAGTTCTCACCCACTGGGCATAGCAGGCACCCAGCACTGAGCAGGCTAAGGAGTGAAGGACTGAATGTGCTCTGTGAAGACACAGGTGGCCTGTGTGTCAGTGGCTCCAGAGGGGGCGTGTGGGCCCAGGGAGTGAGGACTGAGGGTGGTTGAGCGGGCAGGCAGTGAGTCCGATGCACCTTCTCTTGAAGGAGATCACGGAGCTACCCGACTACAACAAGATCTCCTTCAAGGAGCAGGCACCCGTGCCCCTGGACGAGGTCCTGCCTGACGCCTCTCCGCAAGCCTTAGACCTGCTGGGGCAGTTTCTCCTTTACCCTCCACGCCGGCGCATTGCTGCCTCCCAGGTAAGCCCCCTAGCCTTATGGCTCAGGACCAGGGGATGGGGTGGCCTCTCAGAACCTGTGCTAGGCTAGAAACATAACCCTCAGGGCTGGGAGCACGGCCCAGTGTGCCTTTCGCACGTCTCCGGGATATCAGGGACTTTTTCCACCTCTTCAACAAATACCTGCCTCTGGCAGGTACAGGTGTCATACTGGGCTCTGGCCCGGAGTGAACAAGCAGACTCTGCTCTGTCCCCTTCCGCAGTCTCCGCCCTGTGGTGAGGTAGCATGGACAGTCTTGGAATTGGGGGGAGCTTGGGACTGACTTGAGGTCAGCAGTGCTTCCTAGAAAAACAGGGAGGTGTTTTCCAAAGAGAAGTGATCAGCAGAGGTCTCCAGAGGTGGCCAGGAGGGGTGGGATATAGCTGAAAGGCAGAGGAGCAGGAGGTCCCTGGCTGATGACTGACGGGCAGGGCCTCCTAGATGAGCCTGTTTCTCAGGCTTTGTGCCAGACCCTCTCCCCATCCTGAGCACATGATTCTGCACAGCCCTGTGAGTCCCCATCAGCGGCTTCTGAGTCCAGGAGCTTCCCAGCCCTGCTGCCCAAGTCTCAGCCACTGTGCTTCCTGTACTCCCCAGAGCCTGCCATCTGTGTCCCCAGCACCCCACAGAGAGTGACCTAGTGCAAGCAGGCTGCACACCAGCCTCTGTGGGGCCTCCACAAACCCTGCTCCCCTGTGGCTCCCTCTCACTTGGCGAGCCCAGGCCCCTCCCGTGTCCATGCTCAGGGCCTGAGCTCCGTGGCCTCACTGGCAGTGTCACAGTTCCTTCAGGCCCCACCCACCACTCCTCCAGGTCCTCGGTCTCCATATTTGTCCCCTGGTTGGGAGCCTCCTTGCTCACTGGTCACCTTGAGGGTCTCCTGGCTGCTCTCTCTGGGGGCGCTCACCCCGGTCTTCAGGCCTGCAGCCTTTGTGGTGTCCGCATGCCTGCTCCCGCTTTCCATGGCACTGCTCCTCTAACACACTGTAGCTTTTACTTTGCTTTCACTAACTACACCCCCAGCTACACAGAAACTTCATGTGGGCACAGCTGTCTGATCACTGTGGCACCCCAGCCTCCGAGCGGCTCAGGCCTGTGAGGCAGCTGGGTGGGTGGGTGAGCAGGTAGAGTAAGCCCTGAGGGCAGTGAGCTGAGCTAGGACAGGGAATAACTGATTCTCCCTTGCTTCCCCAGGCCCTCCTGCACCAATACTTCTTCACCGCCCCACTGCCTGCCCACCCCTCAGAGCTGCCTATTCCTCAGCGTCCAGGGGGCCCTGCCCCCAAGTCCCACCCAGGGCCCCCCCACGTCCATGACTTCCATGTGGACCAGCCTCTCGAGGAGTCCTTGTTGAACCCAGAGCTGATTCGGCCCTTCATCCTGGAAGGCTGAGACTTGAGCCAGGTCCCGAGCTATCCCCAGGACCACCTGTGGCCTCTGTTCCTCTGCTCCGGCCTGCTTTAGGTTTTCCCGTCTTCTGCTGACACACCAGCACACTCCATATCTGCTTCCTCTCCTGCCCCCAGCAGGCCAGAGGACATCCGGCCTCAGTAGAGCAAGACCTCTGTGGCTTGTGCCAGTGGCCTCCATCTGTGCCCTGACTGCCCATCAGGAGGCGCGTTCTTGCTGCTGTGCAGGGACCACCACCCCAGGGGCAGTGCCTGTGTGGTGCTGTTTTTCCGGGCTCTGCCTTCCTGCTCAGGGGTAGTTTTAAGGGGGCCATCTGGGAGGGTGGGGTGCCGCAGAATTTAAGATGCCTTTTGGCAACACTGATGGGAAGGCAGGCTTGGTTTGGCTTTGTTCTTGGAGACATTAAACACTAGTTCAGAGGTTATGAAAACTCCAAGTAGCTCTGTCTGGTGTCTGTTTCTCTTTAGGGCTGAGGTGGCATCATCATTAGGAAAATGATGACACACCTTCTGAGAGTGTCATGATGGAGTTCCCATTTGGAGTGGTGGTGGCACAAGTCAAGGCCTAGGGACAGCTCAGCCTGGGGACCAAGACATTAAGGCAACTTACCAACACTTGCACCCTCACAGTCAGGGGGTCCAGGACTAGACATGCCACCCCCTTACTCAGAGATACCAAATAAATGGAACAGGCATTCCTAGGACACATTTGTTAAGTCAATAAATCCACTATAATCCCAACTGACTCTTGTTCTTATTTAACATAACTTGATAAATTGATTTTAAAATGTATTTGGAAATGAAGAGTTAAGAGAACAGAAACAAATGGAGCTGACTCTGGGTCTTAGCTGGAACATCAGCCCACCTTGACCTTGATCTGACCTTGTTGTGTATACCTGCTCTCATCCAATCTTCACCTTCACTCTTAGCTGACAGAAATTTACCCTGAGTTGGACATTCACCCACACTGATTCTGACTCACATCACTTGCCCTGTACTGTGATCCTGATCCACTCTGGCATGGAAGAACAGAATGAGGTCAGGGTCAATCCCACAGCTAGGTGAGGTGGGGCCACAGGGTGGGAGGAATTAGGGTTATAGCAAGGGTCAGTGATGAGAAGCTGAAAATCATTTGAAGGCAATGGTGAAGGTGATGGTCAGGGCCACAGTGAAGTCCAGGATGAGGTCAGGGTCAGGTGAGGGTAGACACAAGGGTTAGGGGAAAGCGGATGCAATGGAGGTCAAAGGTTATGATCAGGTTGAGTCTGAGGGAGAGGATCAGAATCAAGGTAAGGGTCAAGACCAGGGTCAGGGTGAAGGTCAGGCCCAAACAGATGAGTGAAGAGGGCCAGGTCAAAAACCATACTGAGAGGGTAGGGGTGAGGTCCAGGTGGCACATTCAAAGGGGAGACAGGCAGGGCCCAGGAGGTACTTAGGTTCAGGGCTACCACAAGGTCCACAGTGCAGGTCAATGCAAAAGCAAAAGTCAAGATCAAGGTCAAGGCAAGAGGAAGAAGAGTTTAGGGATGGGGGGAAGTGTCAATATTAGGAGGTGGGCAAGTGTCTGGGGGGAGAGTCAGAACTAGGAGTAGGGTAAGGGAGGGAGCCAGAGCATGTCAGAGATCAGGGACCACCTGTTGAATGGGAGGGGTGTGGGGGGCAAACCGAGCCGGGCGGGGCTTGGCTGCGTGTCGGAAGTGTGGCGGACTGGGCGGGGCTTGGCTGCGTGTCGGAAGTGTGGCGG